TCCCCGGGACTTGTCCAGCGCCCTGTGACCATTGTCGATGGCCCCCAGGACCTGCGACGGGCCCCACAGGCCGAAATCCAAGAACGAACCGCCAGATTGAAAACATCACATCCTCGGATTTCTCGGTCGACATCGTCGTCGTCGTCGTCGCTTTCAATCCGCGGCCCCAGAGGTCCGGCCCTCTCCCTGGGAGTGCTTTTTCGCCCCAAAACCTTTTTCGATGGCCCCCGGGCCCGACGACGGGCCCCGCGTGCCGAAAAACGCTCGATTGGCACAAATCACATCCTCGGATCTCTGGATCGTCGTGGTCGTCGTAGTCTCTATCAATCCGCGGCCCCAGCGGTCCCGCCCCTTCCCCGGGAGTGCCCCCGGGCCCGACGACGGGCCCCGCAGTCCGAAATTCAGAAAAAAACGCCGGATTGAAAAAAAAACTTCCTCGGATCCCTGGGTCGTCGTGGTCGTCGACGTCCTCCTCCTCCCCCTCCTCCTCCTCCTCCTCCTCCTCATCCCTTTCCTCGTCCTCCACCTCCTGCTCCTCCTCCTTCTCCTCCTCTTCTTCCTCCTCCTCGTCCTCCTCCTCCTCCCCCTCCCCTTCCCCTTCCTCCGCGCGCCCGCCCAGGGTGCCGAAACCCCTGGCACGCGTGCGCGCCAAAGCACGCGTGTTAAACCCTCCTCTCTCCTCCTCCTCCTCCTCCTCCTCCTCCTCCTCCTCCTCTCTTCTCCTCTTCCTTTTCCTCCTCTTCCTCCTCCTCCACCTCCTCCTCCTCCGCCTTCCCCCCTTTTCCTCCTTTTTCTCGTCGTCGTCGTCATCGTCGTCCTCGTCCTCCTTCTCCTCCTCCTCCTCCTCCTCCTCCTCCTCCTCCTCCTCCTCCTCCTCCTCCCCCTCCTCCTCCTCCACCTCCTCCTCCTTCTTGGGCCCCGGAAGCGGCAGTGCCGTTTTCTCATCGTTTCCAGAAAAATGTCGCTCGAGAATGGAAGCGGCAAAAAAACGGCGACCGGAAACGGCAAAAAAAACGGCTCCGGGATTGGAACCGGAGCCGGAACCCGTCAAAAGACGGCGACGGAACCGGTAAGAAAACGGAGTCGGTAACCGGCACAAAAACGGCAAAACGGAACCGGAAACAAAAACGGCCCTGTCGTTTCCAGGGCCCACTAAGTCCTCCTCCTCCTCCTCCTCCTCCTCTTCCTCCTCCCCCCCTCTCCTTCCTTTCTCTCCTTCTCGTCGTCGTCGTCTACGACGTCGTCGGCGTCCGTCGTCCGTCGGTCCGTTCGCCCGTCCGTCCGTCCGTCCGTCGTCGTCCGTCATCGTCGTCCGTCATCGTCGTCGTCCGTCGTCGTCGTCCGTCGTCATCGTCGTCGTCCGTCGTTGTCGTCGTCGTCGTCGTCGTCATCGTCAGTCGTCGCCCGTTCGTCGTCGTCGTCGTCGTCGCCAGTCGTCGTCGTCGTCGTCGTCCGTCGTCGTCGTCGCAATCGTCTCCCCTTGTCGCATTCGTCGTCGTCGTTGTCGTCTTCGTCGTCATCCGTTGTCGTCGTCCGTCGTCGTCGTCTGCGTCCGTCGTCGTCGTCGTCCTTCGTCGTCCGCCGTCGTCGTCGTCGTCGTCGTTGTCCGTAGTCGTTGTCGTCGTCCGCGGTCGTCGTCGTGTGTGGTCATCGGTAACCGTCGTCGTCGTCGGTGTCCGTCGCGTCGTTCGTCCGTGGTCGCGGTCGTCCGTGGTCGTCGGTCCGTCGTTGGATTCCAGCGGTGGTCTGTTACTATAGAGGGGGTCACGAGGCGAATGCCAAAACACAGATTCAGCCGATCTGCGCACGCGCGGCGCGGCGACGGCGGGCGGCGCCAGCGCGGCGCAAGGGAGCGCCGTGGCCCTGGGCCTCTGACCTGGGCGCGAGCCACGCGAAACAACCTCGCCAGCGAAACCACGCAGGCGCGAGTTACGATTCCGACATTTGCACCTTGTTTACACCATGGGGCCGAATGGCCCTGGCAAGCTCGGCCCAGAATCACTGCGTTATTGCTGTTGCGCGCGCCTGCCAACGCACTGCCTCCTCGTCGCACGCAGCGTCGCGCGCGCGCCCGACATGCGTGGGCGACATATCAGGCGCGCGGCGCCCGCGGGTGGCAAACGCGCACGCACGCCGCACCGTGCACGAAAATGTTGGCTGCCCTGCGCGTCCGCACGCGTGCGTTCTGGAACGTCAGTCGGCGCGCATGATACACGCGGCGTTGCAGGGCGCTACCATTGGGAAGCGCCGATGGGGCAATCTTGCCCATGGCGGGGCGGCAGCCGCAATGGCCCTCGGAACTGCAGGCTAAACACAGGGAGGCCCGAATGCCCCGACACGCGGACCTATCACTTTGCAGGAAGTGCCGCCTCTGGCGGCGACATCAGGCAACGCTTCGTCCAGCATGGACTGGAGTGTTCTGAAGTCCCCCAAAGTCCGCCCCCTCCCCCGCGGATGGTCTAAAATTACCCTATAGGGATCCAGGGCAGGAAATTTCAAAATCTCCAGGTCCTTATCCAACGCCGATGGGTTGCGGTGCGTGATTTGGCCTAAGGCTGGACGGGTCGCAGCGCCGCCCAAAAGAACCCCAAGAAGCGTCGGGGCGACGCGGGGCGCGCAAAAGGCCCCAATTGCACCCCGATGCGCCCCGAAACGGTTTCGCGCCGGCCCCGGCGACCATCGAGACGCCCCAGGAAAAGTGCGAAAACGATTCCCAAGAAAGCGCCCGCCCAAAAGAAACCTCCGACAAACCCCCGCGGGTTCCCACGGCCGCCCCAGGAGGCCCCCGAGAGACCACCAAGAACCCTCGCGAGCCTCCAAAAATGCCCCCGGGCAGCCTTCGAAAGGCCTCCCAAGAGGCCCCAAGACGCTTCCAATGGAGGCCTCTCGCCCACGACCCAGGCCCGGCGGCGCGTTAGGCCGAAGGCCAATAGATAATCGCAGACAGGTAAAGCGCCAGTCGAAGGGCTCCGAGGAGGTGGAAGCCCTTCCGCCCCCTCCTGCTGCATCCCGCTGGGGCGCGCGAGGCGCGGGGGCGGACGGCGTGGATGCATCCCTGGACGCGCCCGCCCGAACAAGCATCGTGCACGTGGCAAGAAAAGCATGCGCACATGCTCGCACCTTTTCCATGCGGCCCCATCGCAGCATCCCCGCTTCATTCAAGTGGACTCACCACCCAAATCCCGCGGCGCCCTGGACGGCTGTCGACCCTCTCGCACCCCTGCCCTACGCCAAGGGTGCAACGGCCTGCCAGAGTCGCGAAAACGCCTCGGCCCCGAGGCGCGCACCGACGGCGTTGTCACTGGGTGTCAGCTGGCCACGGGCGCCCTGCGCGCGCCATTGCCAGCGCCACTGACTAAGAGAAACGGGGGCGCCAAGAGCGGTAGACCCGCCATGGGCCAGGCGGCGGGGCAAATCGGCCGGAGACAGCGAGCGCGCATTTGCATCCGTCGCCCTGAAGACATGGCCGACTTCTCCCGCAACCTGCCCATTTTGAGTCTCTAAGTGCCTTCCGCTCCCCCTCCTCCTCCTCCTCCTCCTCTTCCTCCTCCTCCTCCTCCTCCTCCTTCTCCTCCACCTCCTCCTCTTCATCCTCCTCCTCCTCCTCCTCCCCCTCCTCGCCCCCTCCTCCTCCTCCTCCCTCCTCCTCCTCCTCCTCTCCTCCTCCTCCTTTCCTCCTCCTCCTCCTCCTCCTCCTCCTCCACCTCCTCTTCCCCCCCACTCCCCTTGCTGATGCCCCCGCCCCGCGGCGCCCCCCTCTGCTGCCAGTGCTGCCCCTGGTCCGCCCCCCCCCCATCTCCCCCCCCCCAAGTCGCCACTCGTGGCTGCCGAGTGCTCGGCGCCGTCGCGCGCAGCATGCGCGAGTTAGCAGACCCCAAAACAACAACCTCATCTAGAAAACTGCGCGGCCCGTTGGCCGCGGCACATTGCCCCAGCAGCGGAGCGCCGCAGAAACGCGAGGCCGGCCTCAGCGCACCTTCCTACCCGAAGCCTTCGCTGGAAGGCTCTTCCCAACGATTTTCTGGAGCTCCTTCCTGAGGACTGAGGGGAGGCCCGCTGTCTCGTCAGAGTTACTCGCCGGACTCTTCGCGGCGTTCTCCTCAGGGCACTTCGCCTGGATAGGCCCAGCTTTCTCCGACTGCTCGGCGCCCGTCAGCTCGCAGATGACGCTGAGGCAAGCAATAATCTCGATGGCCTTGGTCGCGCTCCTGAGAACTGTATTGGCTGACTCGAGCTCTGGCTTCGCCACGGGGTCCTCAGTCAACTTGGGCAGCAGTGCCCAAGACGCGCGCGCTCGCCCGATGTCGGCGACGACCTTGTGCAACAATATCGTCTTGCAGCAGAGAACGGCCCTGCCGGAGAAACCCAAAAGGGCCTTCTTGGCTAATGCTACGTGAACCTTGGTCGGCGTCACAATGTGGTCCCACTTCGGCGTGAGCTTCCCCACCTCGTCGATCAGCACGACCACCTGCTCGAGCAGTTTGTAAATGATGTCACTCAGCAGGTGCGGTGCAAGCATGGCCACACTCGCCCACCATTTCACCACCGTGTCCTTTGCGATGAGAAGCCGCCTGCCCTGAGCGATGTCCAGCGCGGAGGACGCCGACGCAAAGTTCGACGCATCCTTGGTGATCGCCGTCTTGAGGTAGACGGCAGCGTTGTCGACCTCTGTCTTCAGTCTCCCGTCCCGGATGCAAGCCTCGGCGTCCGCACCGACAATCTGATTCAGATATAGCATGGTTGTCGCCGCCCTAGCCATAGGCGCACGCAGCAGACCCAAACTCTTCAGCTCACCTTTCTCTGCACAGAGGGCGTCGCCCCCCCCCCCGCCCCCCCCACTGGGGATGCAGAAGCCCTGCCAGGACACCTCGAAGTTGCCATCTGCGATGGTGTCCACAACCGACTGCATCAGAAACTGGAACGAGTCGCAAGGACAATCATAACCATTTTTGGAATCGCATGCGAAAACCTCGTTGCCAAGTCTGGCCCCGTCGTCACCCATGCCTCGCTGGCCCACGAGGCTTTCGACCCATTCGGCCGAAGTCTCGCTGGCAGGCCTCGCCTCCAACAGGTTGTGGCAATCCCAGGAGCCCTCTGGTCGAAGGCGGTTAGAGGCGCTTCCCTTTTGAAGCCCACTCCTTCCTCTTCGCGGAGGGCTGCGGCCCCCCCGTGCCCCTCCCACTCCCACATGGGTCTGGACGGGGTGCCGGCGACCGACTGGAACGCCCCCGACGGGCCAAGATGGGCCAGGGAGGCTACAGGTAGCGCAAGGCGGCTTCCAAGATGGCCAGCGATACGTATTTCAAGATGGCCCAATATTGGCCCCAACAAGGGGTGTCAATCATAACCGGCCCCTTTTCCCTGCAAAGGCCGCCCCCTCGAACGCGACAGTCATGAGTCGCCCTCCTCGCATGAACAAAAAAACCCTCATTTCCGACAGCAGTCGGCCAAGAGAGGAGCAGCCAAAATTATCCAAAACGCCAATCGCCTAGGGGGGCATTGAAAAATGGGACGGCCGCTTAACTCACATGCGCCTCCCTGGCGCACGGCGGTTCGCGACAGGGCGGGCGGTTGCAAGGCCCTGAATTCAATGCGCGTTCCGGGCCAGGATGCAAGAATCCCAAAAACATAGGGCCTGACAAATGCAACGCGGACTCGCTCGAAAAATTGCCAAAAAAGAGGGGGGCGCACGTCCGCGCTCTCATTTTCTTATTTACAGGGTCCGCCACAGGCCCCCTGATTGACCCAAGAAGGCTCGAATGTCCCAGGGCCCCCCCATGGCCGCCCCCGCGAGGCCACAATGTTGCCGACCCGTATAAAGATCGATGGTTTGCCCACCCCTGCACTTTCGTCCCCCATGGACTCTCCAAGTTCCACTGCGGCGCCACAGGCGCCCAAAAACCCGAGGGAAACCCAGAGGGCTTCACAGCGGCCCCAGGAGCGCCCACGGCGGCGCCGCAACGCCCCGAGGAGGCACCCAACAAAGACTTCGGGGGGTAAAAATGAGCGCCTCTACTTAAGACCCCCTTTTTTTGATCAGACAAGCACTGGAACACACGCAAGAGAAATGACGGAATGCACCCTTAGGGGAGCTCCATCGGAAATATGTCGTTCCGAAAAGGGCGGCTAGATTACCCAATGCGATGTTGGATGCCCGCCGCGACGGCGCAAGCTGGCCCAAATTGGCTCGATATGACCCCAGGGCGCCCAAGCGAGGCTCCAACATGACCCTGGCATGGTTCCCAATGGCCACGGGGCCGCCCAGGAAAGCCTTGGAATGCGAAAAAAACGCTCAGAGACCAAAGGGGTGCCATGCACGCAAGTACGCATTCGCGCCGCGTCGACGTCGAGGATCTGCGAGGCCCCAAGACGGCGCCAATATTGTCCCAAACAAGTCCCTGGTGAGCCCTTGGGGGCGCCAGGATGGACCCAGAAGCGCCCAAGGGCGCCGCATAAGCGCCCCAAGCGTCGGTTTGGGGAACGCAGCATTGGCGACACGATAGAGGACCTCCTTCTCGGGACTGAGGCCGTCCACGATTATTGCCCCAGGACGGCCCCCAGGGGCCACCCGGATTGGCCCTCAAGAAATTCTAATCGGAGACGTCGACAGCGCCGAAAATCATCGCAGGAAACGAAGCACTTAAATTTGTACCGCAGGACGCCCTAAGAGGGAAGGGCCACGGATGGCCTTCATGGACGGCCCTTGTCGTCGTGGCGGTTGTTGCCCTTGTCGCGCCCGCGATATTTCCCCCGCCGCCCCCTGCTCCTTCATTTTATCCTACTGGTGTGTTCCCTCTTCCGTTTCCCTCCTCGCCCTCCGTCCTCCCCCCCCTCCCCCTCCTCCTCCCCATTGTCCCCGTCGTACTTCCCGCTCCTCCTCCACCCCCCTCTCTTTCTCCACGTAAGGGTCGCGACGGCATATGTGGGCCCCCATAGAGCCCCACCGCGGATTACCTTGCGCCCCTGATCTGGACAACCTCTAGGGCATCGTTGCTGGACGGGCTGGCGGGGCAACGCGAAGCGTCTAGACTTCAGACTCAGGAGGTGCAGGCTCCCAATGAAAGCGTCGACGGCAACCTGCGCGCAGCCGTTGACCTTGCGGCGCACGACCTTCGGGCACTCCAACTGGCACAACGCACTCGGCAAAACCTGGGCGAGACTGCGGCGCCCCACAAGCTCGTCGGCGCCGTCCTGCCCAGCCAACCTCACGGTCATATCACCCGTGCCGCCCTGCCCATCAAGCTGAAGCGCGATCGTCTCCAGGCCGCCGAAGTGCACCGAAACGGCGAGGGCGCGCGCGATGAATGAAGTATCCTCCGATTGGCGTTTCTTCTTAGCTCGCCACTCTTCGAGCATCTCGGCGGGGCCCATCAGGGAAGCTCCAGGGGCCGCACTCAGTAAGTCCAGCGCCTGCTCCACCATGCAGCGAGCATTCGCATTCTCGCGCAGGGTCTCCACGACAGACGACACCTGGGTAATGTCGACAGTCGGCCGTATGCTCTGGGGAAGGCCCCGAGCGACGAAGTCTGCCAGCCTCGTGTAGAAATCGCACAACTTGGTGTCATCCAGGTCGCCGTGGGAATCGAGCAGACTTGCGAGGGCACTGAAACTCCGCATCTCCTCCTGAGCCATTTCCTCGGGGTCGACGGTGGCGCGCGCCTGCCAGAGCAACTGCCCGAAGGCCCCCCCCCGAAGTCAAAGCCTGCGCGTACGTCGCCAAGCACCCGTCGTAAAACGTCAAGCAGCCGATGATCTTCATGAGCCAGTCGTTGATCGCCCCCGAATTTCGCTCAAGCGCGATCGGGCTGCAGATCTCGCAGGCCTCGGCAACGTTCTGCAGCGACTCCTCCAGCGTGTCGACAACGGCCATCCCAGACAGAAGGTGGAAGTTGGAGACGGTCGCATGCACGGCGCCCTCCGCCTCGGTACGCACCAGGCCGGGCAGTCGTTTGTCCTCCAACTGTTTGATGGCGAGCTGGATCTTCTCGTCGGCGACTCCGTCCTTGGAGGACTCCTGGAGCAGGCAAGTCGCCTTCGCGAGCACGGGGCCCCCCATCTCGCACTCCCGCAGCGCGGACAATATACCCTTCATGCGCAAAGTCTCCACGTGCTGCAACGCGGCCCCGAGGCTGGTCGCAACGACGGCCGGGGGGTCGACGCACGCGCCGAAGATGACGACCAAGTGCTCCAAATCCGCGATCAAGGCCCCGAGGGGCGACAAATCATCCGCGCACCTGTTCAAAAGGTCGCAGCAGCAGCGAAGGTCATCGAGCGCCTGCTTGGGCAAGTCCGCGAGCTGATCCTTGTCGGATCCAAAGGTTCTGAAAAGACGTGCAAGCTCTGCGAAGACCACCGCCCGCAACCGCGCGTCTGGCGACGTGTCAGGAACCGTCTGCCGCCCGCCACCTTCCAGTGTCTGGCGAAATGGCTGCCTTCATCACGTCAACGAAGCCACCGTCAAACAGGTCGCGCAGAGGGTCGCTGATCACCGCCGTCCGAGCCCGCTGCGCGTGCTCGGAGCACTGGCACGGCCGCAAGTACGTTTGCGAGTCGCACTTGCGACGACGACGCCCTGCAAAACCGATCGCAACCAAGGAGCCCACTACTGACGCCACGTCTGCGTTGCAGCACTGTTTGCCGTGGCCTCAACAGCTGGCCCCCAAGGTCGGCATCGGGAACGGTCGTCTCGTCGCGTACTCCCCTGTCCAAACGCACAGCTGGCGCCTGAGAGTGGAACATCATCTTGCGGAACAACAACCCCAGGCTCGGCGACACCTGCACCGACAGCTGGTCCACGAGGAACGTCTTGAACTTGGTGAGGGGGCCCAGGCACTCCATCAGTTTCTGGTGTTTCTGCTTCGACTTGTTGTAGTCCCGATATTGCCTAACAAACTGCTTGCCTGCTCCGAGACCAATTATCCATGTCTCCGCGCGCTCGATGACGACCTTGTTGCCTGCGCTGGTAGCCGAATCGTTGATCCCGTGAAGCTTCGTCAGACAACTGGTCCGACTCCTTCACCTCGGACCGAGCCTCACTTGAAAATATATTCAGCAAGGTCGCCGGCTCGACGAGGATGGAATCGAGCTTGTGTTCCATCTTGCTTTTCGTCGGCGCGCTATCGTGGTCATGCTGCTCGGCCTTGGCCGCGGCCGCTACCAATGCCGAGGAACCCGCAAACAGGCTCGCCAAGTGGTCGTTGTCGTGCACGCTGGACGATGACAGCAAACGTCGGGTCGGCAACGGCGGCGCGAAGCCCTCCACGAGAGGCCTCTTGAACGTAGATGCCCCAGCGCGGCCGCCGACGAGGCAGCTGGGAACTAGCATGCCCAATTCGTCGCCGTCAGTGCTGCTGATCGTGATGAGGGAGCTCGGGTTGGGCGCAATGCCCGGTAACTGCACGGCGCCGGCCAAGGGCACCACGGCTAAGTTGATATCTGGCGTACCGAACATCAAGCGCATCATGAATTTCAGGCACCCCACCCTCTCAATGACGAGGGCGGCGGTGATTTTGACCACCTCTGCCTTGGCCAGGCTGAGGTGCGCAACGAGGTGGTACTCAAACTCCTGCTGGTGGGCGGGGGTCTGGAGCCACGTTTGGAAGAGTGGTAGACTGGTGTGGTCATTGCTGTAGCACGTCCGCCAGACTGTGAAGCAATCGAGGCAGAACTTGCCCCTCCCCCCGCTCGCCCATTGCATGAACTCCTGCGGATTGCAATAGTTCTTCCCGCTGAGGAATAGACGAAAGCAGCCGAGACATTCCTTGTCCTCCGTGCACGCGGCGGCTGCCGCAGGGTTCATCACAGTCATGTTGTCCTATTGTGCAAGCGTCAAATCAAAAAGACAATCCCTTTCCTCCGTTTCCCGTTTCGTTTCCATTTCAGTAGCGTCTCCGTCCCTCCCCCTTCCCTGGGCTCCTCGCCCATGCCCCCCCATCGCTCGCCCTCTCCTCCCTCTTATGTCCTAGTAGAGAAACTCCGGCTTCTGAGCCGAACGAAATCCCCAAGAGAGCCCCCAGAAGGCCCAGAAGGGCCCCATGAAGGCCCATTAAATGTAATGGTCACGGCCCTAGCAGGCCCAATAAAGCTCTACCCAATTGAAGCCACTTTCCCCTCAGATGGCCCCCGACACCGCAAGTTAACCCCCAAGAATCGTCCACAGCGCCCCCAGATTCCCCCTGAGAGGCCACCAGGGGGCATTAGGAAACTCCCAATACGCCTCCAAGAAAGCCCCAAGCGCCCTCCAAGAAGATCCGGACAGGAATCCTAAAGAGACCCGCGGAGCCATCATAAGTGCTTCTGCCCCACAACGCACGCCTGGCACGGCGGCGGGATGTGCCGAATACCACCAAGTGTAACACGCTGCTCTCGGCCATGGATCTGCTTTGCTGCGCTGTGCTATAATGCGGATGTGGATGCGAACGCTCCTGCGCGAGAAGCCAGGTCCCGACTGTCAGAGAGCCGGCCGCGCGGCCCAAGCATCGACCACCGTCCCTGCGCACAGGGGGCAACCCAATGGCGCCGACCACGATCCCATTGGCCGTGCGGGCGACATGGTTGAGGGAACTCATTGTGATATGTGTTATTCCACTCCTCAGGGGGAGTATTTATCTTTCCCTAGCCCGCCGTCGACTCCAGCATGAAGGGGGGGAACCTGGATGCGGAAGGCTTGTTTTTGTCAAGAAGGCCACTTGAGCCCCAACATTAAGTCAACATGGTTTCCAACATCGCTCGGGATAGCCCCCACTGGGTCTAGATGGCTTCGCGCGCGCCTCCAGGAAGCCACAAGGCAGCCCAAAGACTGCTCCACGAGCCACGGAACCCCCAAAGGACTCCCGAGACTTCAAGCGGATGCAACACCTGAAAACCAAAAGGCCCCACTCGAACGGCCAAGTGGACCCCTAGATGGGCCCCCGGTGTTCCCAGGCCAACGCGGCCATCTGGGGCCGCGTTGCGACAGACGGCCCGCGACGGCCAGAGGACAAATTTAATCTGCCAGTGCCTAAGATAACACAGGCCACGCTCGAAGGCCTTTTGGCGTAGCCCGTTGCGGCCACCAAGATGGGGTGAACGCAGGCTTGCTCAATGTGGCATCTCGCTGTGAGTCCGCGGCGCGGCACGACCCATTGCGGAAATCAACCTGGTGAAACACTCAACTGCATGCTGCCGTGGGCAGCGAAGTTGTGAGCATCATATTCGGTATAGCTCCAGCTCCATATGGGACCAGGAAACATGCGATGGGCGCGCCGCCATGGGCGGCGGGGGCGCATGCAAACGTCGCCTCAAGGGCCCTGGGTGGTGCTTCTTTTGGGGCCACGAAGCGCGAGAGGGGCATGCCGACATGAGTGAGAGGTGTTTGCTCCCTGCGAAACCGAAAAACTTGCTAGGGTTGCGCCGGCGTGGCGATGCGTGAAACGGGGGGGCACGCAAACCCTTCCCCTGGAGTTACACGTGGGGGTCTACGGGGGGGGACACGACATGTAAGCGCGCATGCAAATATGGAGCGGGGGGGGCGCATGTAGACCCTGCCCCCAAGGCCTTCGTTGGTGTTCCGTGCAGGGTCGCGAAACGCGCGAACGGTGTGCCGAAACGAGGCGAGGGGGCCCATCTGAACCCTGCCCCTGGGGCCTTCGCTGGAGCTCCTTGCGGGGCCGCGAAGCGCGCGATGGATGTGCCGAACTTGGGCGGGGGGGCAAATGTAAAGCCTGCATGTGGGGCCTTCGGTAGAATCCCCTATGGGGCCATAACACGCGCGAGGTGTGTGCAGAAATGGAGCGGGGGGCGCATGTGAACCGTGCCCCTGGGACCTTCGGTGGAATTTCCTACGAAGGTCCCAAAACGTGCGAGGCGTGTGCGGAATAGGGCGTGCGGGGGGCATGTGAACCATGCTCTTCAATTCTTCCGTGGACTTCCGTACAGGGCCACCGCGCGTGCCCGGGTTTTACCGATGCGGGGCGGGGGGGCGGACGTGAACCCTGCCTTTCGCGCCTTTGGTGGAGCCCCCCATGGGGCCACGCTACGCGTAAGAGGCGCGCCGAAGAGGGACGGGGAAACGCATGTGCCCCCTGCTTTAAAAGCCTTCGGTGGAGCTCCTTATGGGGCCACGAAACGTGTGAGGGCGTGGGAAATGTCACGTGGGGGCGCATGTGAACCGTGCCCCTGGGGCCTGCGGTGGGGCTCCTTGTGGGGCAGCGATCTTTGCGAGGCGTGTGCCGAAAGTGGGCGGGGGAGCGCATGTGAACCCTGTCCGTGGGGCCCTTCGATGGAAGTCCATGCGGGCCCATGGCGCGCGCTTCATTTGAGCGCGAGGGCGCGCTGACATGGGCAGGCGGAGGGCTGCGGCACACAAGTTGGCACGAGGAAGAAAACCAGGAGGACGAGGAGGAGATGAGGAGGAGAAGGGGGGAAGAGGACAAGAAGGAGAAGGAGGACGAAGAGAAAAGAAGGAGAGGAGTGAGGGACGCTGGGCGCTGTCTGGTCAAAAAACAAGAAGGACCGAACGCCCGTAGGATGGTTGGGAAAGACAGATCAACACGCGCGCGTCGCAGGCTGACCTGGCTGACAGGACTGATGAAACACGCGTTAACATTGAATTTCAAATCAACGCGGGGACTTTTCTATGGCGCACACTGCATAACCGCAAATCTAACACAAACGCGCACGCACGCGCGTCTTCCGCTGACCCCATTCACTGAAACACCATGAAACCCACGTTGGCATGGAAATCCACTCGGTCGTCGCTACGGGCGCGCTTTACTTCCCAAGCTAAGATGGCGACTATTCTTGTGGACAGTGGACAAAATGCCACGCGCGGCCGCGCGCGCACGCACGCGCGTCACGCGCTGATCCCAGTGGCTCACAGGTGATGGAACCCATGTTAGCTCTGGGATCCACTTGGTCCCCGCTACGGTTTCAGCCTAGCTGCCTGGCCCACGTGGCGGCCATTTATCTCATGGGCAAAAAAAGGGCAGCACTCGCAACGCGTGACCGCCCGCGCGCGCGCGAACGCGCGCGTCGGAGGCTAATTTCACGACTGGCTACTGACGAAACAACTTCTAGTTGGAACTCCACTCTGCCGCCGCTAAGGGTTCACTTCCGTTCTCACGCAAATGTGCGGCTATTTTTTTGCGGACAGCGCCGACCCGCGGCGCGCGGGGCCGCGCGCGCAGCGCGCTCATCCCACTGACAGACATGCAATACAACCCGCGTTAGCTTGAACATCTAAGATGCCAGCTTGGAAGGTGCGTTGCGTTTGAGAAGCCAGCGCGGTGACGTTTGCATCGTGGACAGTAGAGAGTTCGCCGCGCGTGGCCGCGCGTCGCGCGCCGATTAAAATGACCCACGTTTAATATAATCTGGCGCCGCGAAGGCATCGCTCCAGCAGCCAGGCCGGCATCGCGATTTCTCCGTGGTGGACAACGTACAGCTCGCCGCGCACAGCCGCGCGCGCGTCTGGCGATGGCTCCATTGACTGGCGCGCGATAGAGCCCGCGCCAACGTGGAAATCCACATGACATCTGCGAAGGTCCCGCTTTAGCTTGCAAGCCAAAGGCGCCTCTTCAATTGTAAACAATAAAGAAGTCTGCCGCGCGCGGCCGCGCATGCGCGCGCGCGTCGAAGGGCGGCCCCATTCACCCACGCGCGCGAAACCCAAGTTTACTTGGAAATCCAAGCGGTCGCAGCAAAGAATTTTTTCTCTGCCCCCCAGGTCGACGCCGCGACTTCCATGTCGGGCAATGCAGAACAGCGCGCGCGCAATAGCTCGCGCGCGCGTCGCCCGCTGAAGCAAGTAACTGAAACGCGATGGCACCCGCGCTGCTTTGGAAATCCACTCGGCCACCGCAGCGGGGCCACTGCAATTTCCAAACAACGCTGCTACTTCTGGCGTTGACAACAGAGATAGCGCCGCACGCGGCCACGCGCGCGCACGCACGCGCGCCGCGCGCTGATCCGATTGACGGATACGCGATGGAGACCACGTTAATTTCAAATTCCTGCATTGGCGCGCGCGCGCGCCTGCTGCGACCCCCCTCGCCAAGGTTGTCGGGGGGGGGGAGGGGCGCTGCCCGAGCCGCGCGCGCAACGGAAGTCGCGCCCCCGCACGCCCCAGACCGCCCAGCGCAAAGCTTTCCCGGGCGCAGAGTTGGCCCCCCCTCCGCGCCCCCCAATCGCAGGGGAGTCCCCAGTGGCGCGCGCAAGCAGGATCTCGCAGGGTCGCGCTCTGGCGCGCATCCACTGGGACGCGCGCGCGAGACTGCTTTGGAGAGGCGCGTTTTCATTGGGAAGCGCGCGAGATCTCTGGAAGTGCATCGGCGCGCCCCACTGGGGCGCGCGCGCGCAATGCCTCTAGGTCGCGCTTCGGCGCGAAACCATTTGAGCGCCCGCGCGCGATATCTTGGGGCGCGCTTCGGCGCGCGTCCGCGGGGACGCGTGCGCGCGCAATTCAGCAGGGCCGCGCTTCGGCGCGCATCCACAAGGACCCGCGCGGGCACTTCCGCCGGCTTGCGCTTCGGCCCGCATTCACTGGGGCGCGTGCGCCAGCAAATCCTCCGGGTCGCGCTTCGGCGCGCATCCGTCTGGGCGCGCGCGCGATTCCTCTGGAACGGCGCGTGTCCACTGGAGCGCGCGCGCGATTTCGCAAGGTCTTGCTTCGGCGTGCGCCCGCTGGGGCGCGCGCGCGATGCCCCTGAGTCGTGCTTCGGCGCGCTTCCACTTGCACGCGCGCGCAGTTTCTCTGGGTCGCGTTTCAGCGCTTATATTTGGGGCGCACTGGCGACTCTGCTGGTTTGAGCATCGGCGCGCATCCACTGGGGCGCGCCCGCGCGACTCCGCTGGGCCGTGCTTCGGCATGCATCCACAGGGGCGCGCGCGCAATTCTGCTTGGTCGTGCTTCAGCGCGCATCCACTGGGGCGCGCGCGCGCAATTCCTCGGCGTCGTGCTTCTGCGTGCTCTGAAAAAACAAACACTCCGCGTTGCGTGCCAAAGGAGCCACTAGCGCGATGTCACGCGCACGCCCTGGGCCCCCCAGTGCCTGGCACGATTTTGCCTGGGCCCGTGGAAGCGGGGGGCCCCAGCGCCGCCCCGGCCTGGAAGATCTCTGCGGGTCGAGAAAATAGCTGGCGATTGCGAGCGCAGTTGCGCATTTCATGAGATGGCTTTCTTGCCTAGAGAGGCAGGCAGTCTCCAAAACTGACGCGAAGCGCAGCGCGTTGACAAATGGTTTGGCGGCGCCGCGGCGCCCGCGCGCGGGGGCGACCCGGCGCGCTTCGTGGCCCCATAGGGAATTCCACCTACAGTCCCAGTGGCGCAGTCCGCGTGGCGGCGCCGCCCCATGGTGGCCCACCCCTCACACGCTTCGTGGCCCCATAGGGGATTCCACCTACAGTCCCAGTGGCGCAGTCCGCATGGCGGCGCCGCCCCATGGTGGCCCACCCTTCACACGCTTCGTGGCCCCATAAGGAACTCCACCTAAGGCCCCAGTGGCGCACTCCGCAGGGCGGCACCGCCCCATGGTGGAACACTCCTCACACGCTTCGTGGCCCCATAGGGAGCTCAATCTAAGACCCCAGTGGCGCAGTCCGCATGGCAGCGTCGCCCCATGTTGGCACATTCCCCACAGGGTTGGTCGACGAGACAAACGCCAGGCGAATGCGCCTGCTTCTCCCCGCGCCCATCGCCACGGCGAAGGCGCGCGCGAGCGAGCGCCAACAACGACTGTTGCAGCCCGACCGCGTTCAGAAACCAGGGAGGACGAACACGGGTGAGAGACATGAAACACCACGATACTTGTTCTGGACCACGCAGGCAAACAAAAATGACGGCACGGCGGCCGCGTCCGCGCCCGCTCATCACGGAATCCCCGTCGGCAGAGCACGGCACCGCTCGGCGCTGCCGAGCCCCAGCGCTGCAGAGCACCAGCGGGGCCCAATTGGCGATGAAGCACCACGCTATCCAGCGTAAGGCTAGCCTCGTGGCACGTCCCCAAGGCGCGGCGCGGCGCGGCACTACTGGGCGGCACGGCGCGGCAACCAATGATTTTGTACAGCAGGCCCCCAGCAACGAAGCAAAGTGGAGGTCCTCTGGGGGCCACTATATATTTTTCGCCACGGCAAGGCTGAAAAGGCGCCATGCTTCTCCCGTGCCCACGTCCACAATAGAACTCTGAATATCAGAGACATTGTACCCCCGAAAGGCACCGCCAATCGAAAGCAACTCATGGAATGGCCAACCCAGCCGCGCTGGAAGAAAACGCAACTGCCGATGCTTATGATGCGGCTTTGAACCTGGCCTCGATCTCTGCAAACGTAGCTTTGTGTTGCCGCGCCAACTCCCGGCGGCGGTCACCGACGGCATCTGCCTCGATGACCGCTTCGTAAAACCAGGCAAGGAAAACTTCGTCAGAGACAGCCCGCCTCATCCGCGCTGGCGTTTTGAATTGCGGATGACAGTAACAACTAGCGCTGACGCTCCTGCTGTCGAGAGGCTTCTCTCTAGGCCACGTCGTGATCACACCGATTGAAGTCCTGTGGCTCCAAGGAGCGAGGCCGCAGCCTACATGCCCCCCAGGAGATATCACTGCTGCTTCCCTGAACTGAGCGAACGTGGGCGGGCCTGTCGGCCCCGAGGTTTCTTGCTCAGCATGTGCTACAGCGTCCCCCAAGGCATCATGTCCAACGTCCTCATCCTCATCGGCATCCCCTTGCTCCTCGTCGTCGGCCGCGCCGAACGCGGCGCCCTCCGAGGCTGCGTCGAGAACGGCAGCGACGAGGTCACGGGGCATGGCATCGAGGCGAGCATCATCGCTGAGGATTTCCGCCAGGTCCGACGGCATGGGGGCCAGGTCCTTCAATGGACTGGCCGAAGCCGCGCGCAGAAACAATATGACAGAAACATCCAGGCCAAGATTCCACGATTTCCCCCTCTACGCGTGCCAGCACGGACCCCAAAACGCAATGGATCACTTCGACCGTGGGGCCCAAATACTTAAACGCCATCACTGCACGGCGCCCACCAGCCCCCACGCAGGAGGAAACAAGAGCCACGAGGAAAAGACAGCGGCGCGAGGACAACAATAAGATGGGGAAGCGGGAGGAAGAAGGGCCAACATGGCAAGTTGTCGATTTGCTGACAACGCAGATTGTTGGATCAGCGCGCGCCGCGCACCAGCGCGCGCGTCGCGCGCTGATCCAATTGACTGACTTGTACAACAACTAGCGTTAACTTTGAAATCCACTCGGCCACCACTAAGGGCTCACTTTGAGTTTCCAGGCCAGCATGGGCGACTTCTGCGAGCGGACAAGCCAGCGCGCACCACGCGCGGCCCCGCGCGCGCGTTGCGCGCTGACCACGCTGACCACGCGGACAAACGCGTGCTACACACGTGTTCATTTGAGAATCACACTGGCCCCCGCTACGGGGTCACTTTCATTTTGACGCCGACAAACAATTTTCTGTCGCGGGCAACGCAGACCCCGCCGCGCGCGACTGCGCGCGCGCGTCGCGCGCCGCCCCAGCGCATTGGCACGCGCCCCCCCAAAAAAAATCCAGCTTGGGCGCCAAAACGGCCACCGCCAAGGGCTCGCTGTAGTTTCCAAGCCAACGTGGGAATTGTTCAACGGCGGGAGACCCAGACTCACCACGCTCAGACGCGCGCGCGCGGGGACGCGCGTCGCACGCTGATCCCGGCACAACAGGGGCATGGGACAGCCGATGGCCAGTTGGAAACCCACTCGGCCACCGCGAAGGACTGACTTTTGTTTCCACGCCAGCATGGCAACTTTTTCTATCCTGCAGAATGCACAACATCCGGCGCGCGGCCGCGCGCGCGCATGCGCGCGTCGCGCGCTGATCTGACCGACTGGCACGTGACATATTCAGTCCAACTTGGAAATCCACTCAGTCACCGCTACGGGCCCACTTTCGTTGCCAAGCCAACAAGGCAACTTTTCCATCGTGGACGACGCCGAACGCCCCGCGCGCCCCGCGCGCGCGCGTGCTTCAGCGCCGCCGAAAATACAGAACGCACGCGAAATCACAATTAAGTTGCGCATCCGATATGCATCCGCCCAGGGCCAGCTCCAGCTTCCAAGCCGGCACGGCGACCTTCCTAACATGGGCAAAATGTAGATCCCCGCGCGGCGCCCGCGCGCGCGAAAGTTTTGCGTGGCCCAAAATGCAGGGCGCGCGCCAGGCCTCGCGTTACTTTGGAAGCCCAATCGGTCACCGCTGTGGGCCCTCTCAAATCCCCTGGCCAACGCGGCGACTCCTCATGCGCGGACAACGCAACAAATGCCCGCGCAACGCTAGCCCGCGCGCGCGGGAACTAAGCGTGGCACGCGAGACAAAACATACGCCATAACCCACGTTAGCTTGGAAGTCCGATCGGCCACACGGGGCGCGCTTCAGCCCCCAGGCTTGCATGGCGACTATCCAAATGCGGACGGCGCAGAGACCCCGCGCGACGCGCAAGTGGGAGTTGAGCATGGCGGCCCATAAAACAAAACGCGCGCCAGGACTCATGGCAACTTGGAAATCAAATCTGCCGCCGCTAAGCGCCCACCTCAGTTGCTTCGCCAACGCGGCGGCTGTCCTATCGCGGGCGCCACAGAGATCCAAGCGCGGCGCGCGCGCGGGAGTTCTGCGCGGCCCCCCGCGCAAAGCACGCGCCAGATGCGACGCTGACTTGGCAGCCATATCTGTCACAACTAAGGGCCCACAGTTAGTTCCCACGCCAACGTGGCGACTTTGAAAATGTAGATGCTACAGAGGGTCCCCCACGGCGCGCGCGCGGGGTTCTGCGCGGCACATAACTCGCGATGCAAAACGTGCGCCAGGGTTCCGATTAACTTGAACATCTAGTCGGCCACCGCGATGGGCTCATGCACTTCCCCAGTCCACATGGTGACGTTCCCGTCGCAGGCAACGCGGGGGGCGCCAGGCGGCGCTCGCGCGCGCGGGCGAGTTCTGCATAACCCATAATAGAACGCCCGCGCAACAACCCGCGTCCAGTTGGGGGCCCAAAAGGCCACCGTCAAGCGTCTAGTTAAGTTGCGCGGTTTGCTGGCTAAGAATACGCGGCGCCCCCGCGCATGCCGCCGCGCGAGCGAAGCGCGCTGTGCAACCTGCTCCAAAGCCCATGCCAACTTGGAGGCCCATTTTGGCGCCATTGGAGGTCCACTTTCGTTCCCACGTCAAGATGGCGGCTGTTCCATTGCTGATCACGCGCGGCCCCCGCGTTCCCATTGCTCCATTGTTCCACTGTTCCCGGACGCCGCCGCGCGTGCGGCGAGTCCGCTGAGTCCACGGCGATAGATCGCATTGCGCGGCGGGGCCACTTGGGTTTCCAATCCACTGTGGCTTTCCAAGTGCCGCCAGCGCGGCACCCCCAGCGCGCGGGCGCCGCCGCGCGCGCGGCGGCGCGGGCGCGCGCGACGGCTCTGCGCAACCCATAATAGACGGCACCAGAACCCAATATAATTTGGAAAATCCATCTCTCGCCGCTCAGGTGACGCTTTCGTTTCCTAGCTGGCATGCCAGACACGCCGCCGCTGCCGGCGGGCGCCCCCCCCCCCCCCCCCCCCCCCCCCCCCCCCCCACCCACCCACACACACACACACGCACACACACACACACACACACACACACACACACACACACACACACACACACACACACACACACACACACACACACACACCACCCCACCCCACCCCGCACCCCATGCGCGTGGAGAAGCCGTGCCAACTGGGAAATCAAAACGGCAACCCCGAAGGGTTCACTTTGCTTTCCCAAGCCAATATGGCGACCCTTCTACTGATAATGCTTGGCCCCCCACGCGCGCGCGCCGCCGCGCGCGCGGCGGCGCGGGCGCGCGCGAGGAGTGCGTGCATGCGCTGTTGCAGAACACATACACCAGGACGTATGTTAACTTCGAAATACAAGTGGCAACTGCTAAGGGTCCACTTTGATTCCCCAAGCCAACATGGCGACTTTTCCATTGCTGGCAACACGGGGCCCCTCGCGCTCACGCGCCGCCGCGCGCGCGGCGGCGCGGGCGCGCGCAAGGGGCTCTGCGTGCCCCGCAGCAAGACGCAGACACAAGAACCCATGGTAACTGTGAGATCGAACTTGCAACCTCTGAGGGTTCACTTTTAATTTCCCATGTCAACATGGCAACCTTTGTTTCTGATAACGCGGAGCTTCCCACGCGCGCGCGCCGCCGCGCGCGCGGCGGCGCCGCCGCCTGCGCGGCGGCTGGGAGGCGCGCGCGGGAAGCGGTTGCACACGTCGTTACAAAAAAAAGAAAAACATACACCAGAACCCATGTTAACTTGGAAATCCAATCGGCAACCGCTAAGGGCGCACCCTGACTCTCTAAACCAACGCGGCAACGTTTCTATTGCTGGCGACGCGGGCCCCCCTCGCGCTCGCGCGCCGCCGCGCGCGCAGCGGCGCGGGCGGGCGCGGGGAGTTCTGCGTGCGCTGCAACAAAACACATGCGGAACGACCCATGTTATCTTGGAAATCCCAGCGGCAACCGTTAAGGGTTTGCTTTAATCTTTCCAGGCCAACATGGCGACTTCCCTATTGCTGATCACACGGAGCTCCCCACGCACGCGCGCCGCCGCGCTCGCGAGCGCTTTGCTTGCGCACGAAGTTGCAGAAAGTGCGCCAGAACCCATGTGAACAAGGAAATTCCACTGGCGACGGTGAAGGGTTCACTTTGATCTTCCAGGCCAACATGGCGAATTGCTCCTTTTGCTGACAACGCGGGGCTCCTCGCGCGCGGCGGCGCAGGCGCGCGCGGGCGGCATGGCATAAGCTCAAACACAACACATACACCAAAACCCATGTTAACATCGAAATCCAATCGGCAACCACTAAGGGTTCACTTTGATTTCCCAGGCCAGCATGGCAACTTTTCGATTGCTGATAGCGCGGGGCGCCCCACGCGCACGCGCCGCCGCGCGCGCGGCGGCGCCTGGGCGCGCGCGGCGGCGCAGGCGCGCGCGAGAAGTGTCTGCGTGCGCCGCTGCAGAACACACGCACAAAAACCCCATGTTAACTTGGAAATCAAAATGCCCACTTCCAAGGGCTCCCTTTGAATTCACCAGTCAACGCGGCAACTGTCCTATTGCTGGCGCTGCGGCGTTCCTCGCGCGCGCGCGCCGCCGCGCGCGCGGCGGCGCAGGAACGCGCGAGAAGTTTCGCGCGCGCTGTGGCAGAAAACATGCACCAGAAACAATGTTACCTTGGAAATCCATGTGGCAGGCGCTCAGGGTTCACTTTGATTTTCCACGCCGACACGTCGACTCTCCTATTGCCGATAACGCGAAGCTCCCCACGCGCACACGCCGCCGCGCGCGCGGCGGCGCAGGCGCGCCTGAGGAGCGTTTGTCTGCGCCGTTGTAGAACACATGCACCAAAACCCATGTTAACATCGAAATCCAGTCGGCAACCACTAAGGGTCCACTTTGATTTCCCAAGCCAACATGGCAACTTTTCTATTGCTGATAACGCGGCGCGCCCCGCGCGCGCGCGCCGCCGCGCGCGCGGCGGCGCGGGCGCGCGCGAGGGGTTGTTGTATACGCCGTTGCAAGACACGTGCACCAGAACCCATGTTGACTTGGAAATCCAATCGGCAACCGCTAGTGGTCCACTTTGATTCTCCTGGCCAACGTGGCGCTTCTTCTACTGCTGATAACACTGAGCGCACCGCGCCCCTGCGCCGCCGCGCGCGCGGCGGCGCCGCCGCGCGCGCGGCGGCGCAGGCGCGCGCGAGAAGTGGTTGCATGCGCCGTTGCTGAACACATGCGCCAGAGCCCATGCTAACTTGGAAATCTGACTGGCGACGCTGAAGGTTCACTTTGATTTACCAAGCCAACATGGCGACTCCCCTATTGCTGACAACGCGGGCCCCTTAACTCGCTTTCGGCAGCGCAGACGCGCATGTCAAGTTTTGCGTGGCCCTCGGTAGGGCGCACGCACACGCGCGCACGCGCGCGCACGCACGCGCGCACACACGCACGCACGCACGCACGCACACACACACGCACACACATACACACACACACGCACACACTCACACGCACACTCACACGCACACTCACACGCACACACGCACACGCACACGCACACGCACACACACACACACACACACACACACACACACACACACACACACACACACACACACACACACAACACACACACACAGGCACACAGGCACACACACACACACACACACGCGCCAGAACCCATGTGAACTTGGAAAGTGAAGCGACCACCGCTAAGGGCTCACAGGTCGCACAGGCCCACAGGTGTGGCAAGGAGGTTTGGGGAAAACCGCAAAGTCCTCAGCGCCCGCGCCGCGGCGGCGTCGAAGGGCGACCTGACGGCGCCGCCTGCGTCGCGGCGGCCCTCTGCATCTCGGGGGGCCAGCGCGGGCGCCCCGTGCCCGACGCGCGCCGAGGCGGCGGGGCATCGTGGATGGCCAGCCATGCCTTCCAGTGCCTCTCCTCGGCTGCCGCGTCGAGGCGCGCCGCCTCCAAAGCCTTCTCGGCGCGCTCCGCGCGCGAGAGCGCGCCCCGGCAGGCGTTCTCGGCGAGCTCGGCGCTCTGGAGCGCGCTGGCCTCCGCGGCCCGCGCAGCGGTCTCCGCGGCCTCTGCGGCCCGCGCGCGCCCCAGCGCAGCGCCCCGCTCCTGCCGGGCCGCGTCGCGGTCCCTTTGGGCATTCTTGTGCCCAGAGGTCCCGCTGGGCGGCTTCCGCGGGTTCGCCCTCTTGTCGGTGCCCCGCCGTTTTTTCCGCGGCGGGGGAGCCTCGCTCGCGGGTGCGGCAGGCTCAGGCGGGGGCGGGGCGGCCGCCCCCACCGCGGCCTCCTCGAGCCGCGACATGGCTGCGTCGGCGGCGGCGGCAAAGCGAAACTCGAGGGCGCGGGGCCGCGGCCTGGGCGCTGCAGCGGCCCGCGCCGACGAAGTCCGAAAAAACACACAGGATGGCCCAAGATGGCGCAAGATGGCAGTGCCGAAATCGGATCCGAGGCGTCCAAAACAGCGCAAAACGGCCCAAGACGGCCCAATAAAGGTCCAACCTGTGAGTCCACGCAATGGCCCAGGCCGCCTGCACAAACCCAGAATGTAGCTCTGCGCGGCCGCCAGAATGGCAACATATAGCGCGCGAGTGCGCACTGCGGACCCCCGCGCGCGGCGAACGCGGCAAAAGGTAACCGCGACAGAAGCCGCTCCAACATGTCTCGACATAGCCCGCGCGCAGATCCACCCCAACAACTCGTCCCCCAGGAGGCCACCGAGATCCCCCGAAATCGTTCCCGAAAAAGCCTGCAATTTAACATTGGCACGGCGGGGAACCAAACAACGCGCAGTCGTGGGCGCCGCAGCAGAGGGAAGGAGGGTGGAGTCAAAGGAGGAAGAAGAGGAGGACAAAAAGGTGGAGGAGGAGGAGGAGGAGGAGGAGGAGGAGGAGGAGGAGGAGAGGAGACGAGAGGAGAAATAGAGGAGTACACGTGGAGATGCATAGACGACACACGGATCTGCCCCTTCATCACCAGCCCAACACCCACAAGTTGGTTGGGACATTTAGCCAGCTACAAATCCACCCCAACATCCTGTTTCCAATATGGCCCAAATCGCATACACCGATCGCCTGGAAAACCTTAGATGGCATCGTTGCCCGCGCCAAATCAAGGATGGCGTCGTATTGCCATTACCGCAGCAGGCGCACTGCCATCGACGCCGACAAGTATTGAAGGCGACCATCCGCAATAACCCCAGCATGCATTTTTGTTGCGGAGATGCTGTGGGAAGCGGCGTGCCCCAGAAGGCCCAAAATGGCCCAATGAAGGGCGAAACGGGTCGTCCCAGGACGACACACGCACACCCCGCAGGCCCTTCATGTAGCCCCAGATGGCGTTCATGCAGGCCACAAGTAGCGCAAGTGATCACATTCTGACATCCAAGAGGCGTCGATGATGGCACAAGATAGCTCGCACCGACGCCCCCCGAACACACCTGTCACGACGGACCGCGCCCGGGTCCGCCGAACCAGCCTTTCCCAAAGAAGACCGCCATCAACTCCCTAGATTGCTTCAAACATGGCCTGTAATTTCCACATTGCATGATCGGATTGCATACGCCGTTCTCCCCGGCAAGTGCCCTGGTTCTCGTTTCTGGACGGGTTATTACCCTCATAACTATTTACCCCCTCCTTCTGCCTCCCCCCTCCTCCTCCTCATAGTCTTCAGTAGTCAGTATCCCCCTCCTACCTGTCCGCATTTTTTTTGTCCTCCTCTTCCTCCTCCTCCTCCTCCTCCTCCTCCTCCTCCCCCTCTCTCTGCTCTTCAATATCCTCCTCCTCGTCACCCTTCTCCATTTCCCCCTCTTCCTCCTCCTCCTCCTCCTCCTCCTCCTCCTTCTCTTCTCCTCCTCCTCCCGTTCCCCCTCCTCCCTCTCCTCCCCCTCATCTTCCTCGTCTTTCCCCGCCCCCTCCCCGCGAGCGCGGTACAAATTTAAGTGTTTCGTTTTTTTGATTTCAGAAATCCCCGTGTAGGAAGGAGGGCGTCGTTGGGGGCCCCCCTCGAAGCAGTCGGCCCTGCCTGGGCGACCCCTTGGCCCGAGTGTTCCCCGCCTGCGGACGGAAAGGGAGTCTGCAGTTGAAAATTGCCCAGATCCTGCCCGACGTCCCGTCCGCGTTATCAGCACGTCGCGATGGACGCGTTTAGTTGACGTTGCACTCTATGGGTCGGAGGGTGTCTTATATTGTCTTCTGCCGCCTTGCTCCCCCTCCCCCTCCCCCTCCTCCTCCTCCTCTTCCTCCTCCTCCTCTTCCTCCTCCTCCTCCTCCTCCTCCCATATCATGTGATTCCTCGCCTCCCCCCTCCCCTCCCCCGTTTCCCCCTCCTCCCCTCCTCCTTTTCCATTTTCGCGTGGTGCACTCCATCCTATTGCACTTCCCCAGTCGGGGCATTTCGCCTGGCGGTTGTTCTTGGACGGGCTGGTGGGGGCACGCGAAGCGTCGAAAGTTGTAGAAGCACGATGGCCAACCCCCACGGACAGAGCGCGTGCCTGGACAACGCAATGGACACGTTTTGCACTATGGTCCGCGCACTGGCACGACGCGAAACAAACGCGCAACGACGCATGGCCCCCGAAGAGAACCGATGCGCAACGCGCATAGCACAAGTTGTGGCCCGAATGAGAGGCAACGAAAACAAGTTGGCCGTGCGCGGGGGCATCCAGGCGTGGATCTAAAACCAACTCTGGCACAAGCGCGCGCGTGGCGGCAGGCATGCGCAGCACATGTTCGCGCGTGGCGGCACTCGGGGCGACATGTGAAACCCACTCGGGCGTTGTAGGGGTTGTTTGTTGCCCTCGGGCCTTCCGGAGATCCTGCCGTGGCCACTAGGGGCCTGGGGCCGCGTCCCGGGCTCGTTTCTACCTCCTCCTCCCCCATCCTCCTGTGGGTGGGCCCTGGCAGAACTCATATAGGCATGCCTTCGAAGCGCCGCGCAGAGCGGCCCAAAGGGTTGCAATGTTTGCGCACGCTGCCCAACCAGCGCGGGACCTTGTCGGCGACGGGCCCAACGCCATGGGCACGATCACCGACGTGCGCCGCATGCAAGCCAGCCTGGCGCGCACCCGTGGCCATGCCCATGGCGAGGGGGTCGCCCGCGCCGAGCTGGTCCAAGGCGTCCATCTCTGGCCCCGCCGCCGCCGCTCTGGGTCGCTTCTGAGTCGGGGGCGCAACCGCGATGGGGTCACCAGCTGCGGCGACTCGCATGTACAACAGCGACTCGGGGTACTCTGCTGGGAAATCCCACGTCAAAGGGATGATACTCCAGCGCTGGGCACCACTCGTCGCCATCTGCAAACAAATCTCATCGGACGTGGCGTACCGGACCCCCTGAAACATCTCGCTCAGGCGAGTGCAGTCGACGGCCACCTTCAGAACGCAAGGGAAATCTGGCATGTGGAAGACCTCGTGCACCTTGCTGCTGCCATGCTCAAGCACCACCCGTGCGAACATCTGCATCTTCGGTCCGTAACGAGCATCCACTAGTACAACTGCCATATCGCGAGGTTGTCCATCGTCGGGCTGGTCGGCTCTCAACCACAGTAATTGTTTGGTGGAACCAACGGCCGCAGCCCCGATGCCGTCGACCCAGCGGTTCAGCCGAGTGCACAAAGCATCCATGGAAGCAGCCAGCTCTGGTCCAATAGCGTGCCTGCACACGTTCTTCTTGTTGTAGATGCACCCGAGCACGGATAGGTGGTCGTCTGGCAAAGCCGAGGCCCTGGGCTTGAATGGGGCCTCGAACAAGAGGGGCGGATCCTCAAGCGCCAGTCGGCGACGTGTTTTGTAGTCGACGCTGTTGTAAGCAGCAAGAACACTTGATGGGTCCACGCAAGCATGTGTGAAATTGCCTCCCCGCAGCCCCCTGGTCGACTGCGAGATGGCAGACGCCCCTGGCCCCCCGCCGTCGGCAATGGCTAGTCGCTTCCCCCGACGAGTTGCGACCTCGCCCAACCAGATGCTTCGCCAGGAACTCTTCGTCTGCTCACTTGCGGACACCCACTCTGCGAAGCGCCGCGCCTCGACGGTCTCCAACGCGGCGTCGGTCAGAGGGCGGTCGCGGGCGTGCACTCGCTTGAATGCCTTGAGCTTGGAATTACGGAAACTGAAATACGGGTTCCCGCCCGGCCTGCGCGAGGGCTCTGGCGGGGGCGGGGCGCCCTGCAAGGCGGCGGCTCCAGCAGTCTTGCAAGCTGCTTTGGAGACGTCAATGCCAGTCCGCTCCTCGTGAGACGCGCGCGCCTCGCGACAGAAACATATGTTGGAGGAGCCCGTGAATCTTTTGCCCTTGCCACTGCTCTTCAAGTCCACCCTCTGGGAGGCGCGCGCCCTCTCCAGGTGGTCAATTGCAATCGGGCAGGCATTCAATGCCTCGATGAAGCGATGCGCGTCGACCATCATCTGGGGTTTGCTGGGACACAGAGCGCGCAAAGAGCGGAGGGACGCCGGCAAGCAGTGCGACGGTGCGTCGAAGATGTCCTGGACGATTTGTTCCTGGCGAACGAGCGGCACGTGTGGATCGCCTATTTTCGCCAACGTGTACGGGCCCTTCTCAAACTGCATCTCGAAGTGATCGCACGCAGCTGCGCCGAGCTGCAAGCACTGCTGACGACAGAAATGCCTTGCCTCGTCGGACGCGAAATCGCCCCCGAGCGCCTCGAAGAGCAACCAGTGGCGATTGCTCCGCTCCTGGAGGCCGAGCATCAAGTCCTGCTGGCAGGCGCTCAGCAACGAGTCCTTCTCTCGCAAGAGGTCCCTGAGGGTGGCTCTGCTACCAGGGGTGCCGTCGCCCAGAATATTGTAGAGGAGTGCGTCCACCTTCCCAAGGGACTGGATAATGATGCCGATCTGCCACCCAACATGAGATTGACACAACAGCCGGCAGACTCGTAGTAAACGAAGCTTGGATTGGGAGTGGAAGTCGCCGTTGTCGGCAGCGATGAGTCGTTCCAGCGTTGCCTCCAATCCGTCGTGGGCCCTCCAAGAGATTTGAAGATTCACCAACGCCTGGGGCATCAACCCAGAACAGAGTTTGCCGAGCGCCCACTTCCTGAGAGTCGTGAGCACCCACGTCCAGCGAGAGCCGACCTCTCGAGTCCAGGGGCGGTTGAGCAGCAAATTGAGCATCGGAACGATCAGCTTGCCAACTTGCTCGTTCTCGTCGCGGCAACACGGACCGCCACGGGGCAAGTCCTCGGCGTCGGGGGTACCATCGGAAACGTGACACCAATGGCATATTTCACTCGAGTCACTTGCACCGAGCTCGTGGGATCTCGCCAGGTCCTCCAACTCCTGCCGAAAAACCTTCTGCACTCGATGCCCCGTCCGATCCTTGGCGCGCATGAAATCGGCCTCCATGCCCCCGAGCAACATGGATAGTATACGCATGTTATTATCGAAGATGCGGTCTGGCATGGGCGCTCGGACGACGCGAACGCGCCGCCCCGTTACCTGGACGACCTCGTCCCGCAAGGCAGATGCAAACCTCCACTGGCGAGTTAACGCGCTGACTGTGCTGGCTCCCCTGAGGAAGTGTTTCGCTGCTTTCGGCCTGTTCTTGACGAGCGCCACCCCGTGAGCTCCGCAGGGCTCCCAATGTGGCAGAATATTCCTGGGCACGGTGGGGCGCCTCAGCATGTGCCCCATCACCTCGATGGCCTTAATGTTATTGCTGGCCCGGTCAGTGCAGAAGGACAGCACGAAATAGTCGCACTGAGACGCCATGTTGGCCATCTCTGCATCGGACTCCAGGTCGCAAGGCATCTGGTCAAGAACAGCCGCAAGAAGCGCATCCGCATGCTGCCGCCGAAGAAGAAGAGACCGTGCCAGGAAGGGCTCGTCAACAGCAAAGTAACCTGCGTCGCAATTGAACTTATATTTCTTTAGGCTCCCACGCTGCACCATGACTTGGACAGTGACCTTGCCCTGGCCGTGTTGCTCTCCTTTGAACCTCCCTGTCGCCAGCTTCGCGGGCGCCAACAACCTCTGCCCCGTCTCGTCCCAACCTGAGTGGCAAGCGCTGGCGGCGCGAAGCATCGGCAGCAGCTCGGCATCCCGACTGTGGAGCGCAACGGCTGCGACGAAGCGCTCCTATTTTGACAGTATATTAGATCCTCGGGCAAATCTGCGCGAATAGCCATTGCACCCCGCAGCTGGCATGCCGAGCGCCGCCGAAGCTACGGCAAACAATGCGCCCGCGAGACACCCCAGGAGAAAACGTGCACAGAGCTCGCCAACGTCGCCTCGATGTCCGCGGGCTGCGCGCCCGCGTCAAGAAAGTGCTGCCGAAAGAACGAGAGCTGGGAAGAAGCCAGCGCCTGCCGGTGCACATGGGCACAAGTATTCTGCAACAGTGTGAAAGCATTGTTACTCTTGATCGTGGGCATCGTGGACAACCTGACAACAAGCATGGCGCTGCGTTCGTCCACGACCTGGCGTGCTGCCTTGAAACCATGGGCTGCTGCAAGCTGCGGGTGGCAGCTGGCAACGTGATTCAACAAATCATTATACGATTTGCTCTCCGCTGTTTTCTCTGCAAATTGGGTTCGCATGTTTTTCTTCTCTCTCTTTCGTCTCTCGCCTTCTCCGCGAGTTGCCAGCTGCGCTGCTCGCGCCGTCGACGCGCGGGTCGGGGGGGCGGGGCGGCCAGGGCCACCAACTGCTGCAGCTCATCGTCGCCGAGAGGGGCTGCCTGGCGCAAGGGCGCTGGTGGCGCCGGCAGCCCACCGTCAGCAATTGCGACGAGAGCCTCCAAATCCATGAACCCAAATGGCTGCGCATGCGCCCGCCATGCAAGCACCCCCCCCTGCGTGTATCCCACGCCCCTGCTGCCTGCCAGCGCCGGCCTTCGATGCGAACCCCCGCCAGCCCTTCAAGGCGTGAGTGTTTTACGGCGTGTTAACTTCCAGTTCATTTTCCTCTTCGGGGATGGGTTTGCCCCTCCCCCAGCCCCCCTGGGTCTGCGCGGGAGGTGCGGCGGATCGTTGGAGCGTCCGAAATGGCTCCAAGATGGCCAACGATGCCTCAAGATGATCTCCAACATGGCCCAAGATATTCAAAGATTGCCCCCCGGGGGTTCCCAATCTGCCCCAACAAGCCCCAAGGCCGCTCCAATGTGGCCACCACGGCAACGGAACCCTCGCGAGAACGCCTCCGAAAGGCTAATCTTCTTCAACAGCCTGAAAGAAACCAAAGGTTGTTGGATTCTCGCCGCTCTGCTTTCAATGGGAATTCGAACCCTGAACGCGGCCCCGACAGGGTCTCAGGCAGCCGCGCGGAAGGCCCGAGCGGGCACCGGAACAGACCAAAGAGTTTCGCATTACGCGCCAACGGCAGCCCGAAAGGTGATTAAACGACGATTTTAGGAGCTGCGGAAACGCAGCGTTAATTACGGAGCCCCGCTCTTTAATCAACATAACTATTGAACGGCATGGCGCTCAATGATTGCGGCGCCTCGGGAGCATTCTAGGGAGGCCTCTGGCCCAACAGGGCGTCAAGATGGCCCCGCATACTTCGGCGCGGCCTGCAATATTGCACCAGAAGGCCAACGTGGTTCAAAATAGCGCCCATGATGCTTCCAGGAGGCCCGTTGCGGCCTCAAGTCGGCATCAGGTGGCCGCGAAGCCTCCTGGGAGTCCCCCGAAAAGTCCGACCCACCCAAAACCAGAGGAACACAATTGATGTTCCATTGTCGGCTTTGAACTTCCAATGGGCCGCCGAACTCAAGATGGCTGCAGGAAACCCAATCCAGCCCCACGAAGGGCCCAAGATGGCACCAAAAGGGCACTCAAAGCGCCCAAGACGCCCCCAGAGCGCGCCCAGAGCGCCCCAAGAGCGCCCCGATAGGCAACTTCAGCGCCCCCGAGGGGCGAGGCTAATTACCCCACCCGGTGTGTGATCGACGCCCTCCAAGATGTCCCCAAGAGGGCACCTTGGGCCCCTGCGAAGACCCCAAGATACCCTCACGAGGGCCCTGGAGCCACCGAAAACTGCCCCAAGATGGCCCTTAGGGATGTGGAGGGGGCGGTGGGGGGGGAAAGAGTAGGGGAGCGGGGAGGGGTGGGGGGGTGGAGGGGGGGGAGGGGATGGAGGGGGGGGGGGGAGGCGATTGTGGGGGGGGAGGGGGGGGAGGGAAGGGGGAGAGGGAGGTGCGGGGTAGGTTAGAGAGGGAGAGGGGTGGGGGGGGGGAGGGCGAGGAGGATGAGGTATTGGTAGGGAGGGGGAGATGGGGAGGTAAGGGGGGTGGGGGGGGGGAGGGAAAGATGAGAGGTAAGTGAGGAGGGGAGTGGAGTGTCTTAGTGGGGGGAGAGGAGATGTGGGGAGTAGGGGAGGCGGGGGGTGAGGATGAGGTAGGGGGTGGTGGGGTGGTGGTATGTTGAGAGGGTAAGCCAGGTAGGTTTCTAATATAATAGGAGTATGGAGGGGGATAATGGGTAAGGGGGGGGGTGTTGATTTGGGCGTGGGGATAGGGTGGGTGGTGGAGGGGTAGGGGGAGTGAGTTGGGGAGGGAGAGGTAGAGAGAAAGGTGAGGGGAGGCAGATTTATTTTATATGGCCATAGGCTCCGCCGAACCGACACGCCCATCCACTCTTGATGGGTGACTCCTGTCGTCGTCGCCGCGGTCGTCGTCATCGTCGCGGCCGTCATCGTTGCCGCCAAATTCCCCCCGCCATCCCTGCTCCCCACTTTTATTTTCCCCATCCTCCCTCCGCCTCCTCCTCCCACCCAACTCTTCTCTTGACCCTAATTTTCCACTCTGCTCCCTTCTCATCCTGCACTTCCTGTCCCTTCTCATTGGACAGGGCTGCGAAAGCATGCGCAGGCTATCCTCAATCCGACTTCCACTGTGCATTGCCCAACTTCCCTGAGCAACGCAGCTCGGCTAAGCATAGTTTCTGCATGGGCTGGAGGGACGCGTGAAGCGCCAACAATATGGCCCCCGAACCAAATGCGTGGAGGGCGAAGTCAACAACGGGCCGGCACTACGCAGTGCATCGCGCGGCACACTTACATGTAAATGATAAACAAATGATGTGCGATTTTCCCCGCCAGTATCTGGGTCGAGCTGCGCGCGCCCAAAATGGCCGACCCATATACTTGGCTGATCCGCTGGCTGACATATCGCATAGGCGGCACAGTGGCGACGCGAGCACGCGGCACGCGGGATGTGCACAGCCTGCAGCGGGCAAGGAAGGCGAGAGCGGGAGGAAGACTGAACGGCGGCGGGGAGGAGAGAAGACGAGCGAGGGCTACGGGGGAGGGAGGAGGGGAGAGGCACTGCGCCGCTCGTTTTACGGATACTTCCGAGAAGACCCTGCGGAGAGACAGGAAACGGAGGAGGAAGCAAGGGCGATGCGGACGACGAGCAGCGAAAGGCCATCGGTCAGCATATATGCCAGATGTTGGCCCCTGTAGGGCGCGAGCCATCTTCGAGATACTGCAAGCCCGACCCCCCCTGAATTCACTAATTCCTGCCAACTGTGCAAACGACTTGCCTCCTGTTCCCCCTCCTATAGAATCGCCTCACAACAGAGGGGCAGTGGATTCCAAGTCCGTCGTCTTCGTCGGTGTCCGTCGTCGTCGTCGTCGTCGTCGTCGTCGTCGTCGTCTCCTCCTCCTCTTCACTTTCTTCCTACTTCTCCTCCTCCTCCTCGTTTCTCCCCCCCTGGCTGACTTGTTTTGCGCCTGCGGCCGTCCCGTTTTAAAGATTCTCGGTGAACTTTGGCCGCTCCAAGTATCCAGGGGTCGCCTGGGGCCTCGCGGGGAACACTACCTGACTGGCCCCGACATTGCCGTGGCGCGGCTCCCATGCCGCGCCGATGTGCAAAACGAATTCGGGAAACTTGCCTTCATCTGGCTCCCAGCAGCTCCCTTTAAGCAGCGGCCAGCCTCCCTGCCCCGCCCCCGCCGCCGCCCTGGGCGCCCCCGATTTCGCGCCCGAAACCGTCAGGAAAGCGTTCGAAGCCGCGAGGGCGGCCTCACATACCAAAGCTGGCAAATTACCGCATGCCCCACAAGCGCCCCCCCCCCTCCCCCCGCCCGCCCGCCGACTTACGCAACCCCGCCCATGATCCCCCCCCCCCCCCCCCCCACCCCCCCCACACAGACAGCAACACAACCACCGCCACCTTCCGCATTCATTGCCTCGCACGCACCGCCGCGAACCCACGCAAAAATCAACGGCCCCGCGTCTGTCGCGACAAAAAAATGCGCACGTTGGCGCGCGACGGGCCCGACCCCTCGAGGCGCGAGCCTCTCCTCGAAAAGGGCGCGGCAGGGGCGCCGCGACCCTCCTGGGCATCCGGCGCTGCTTGACGCTGCCTGCTACTCGCGACGCAACAAGCTGCGCACGATGCAAGGCATCCACGTTTAGCCTCGCCCATTCGACGCCGCTTGGCGCTGCCTGCTACTCGCGACGCAACGCGCCGCGCACGATGCAAACATCCACGTTTAGCCTCGCCCATTCGACGCTGCCTGACGCTGCCTGCTGCTCGCGACGCAACGCGCCGCGCACGACGCAAACATCCACGTTTAGCCTCGTCCATTCGACGCTGCTCGGCGCCGCCTGCTGCTCGCGGCGCAACGCGCCGCGCACGATGCAGGGCATCCACGTTTAGCCTCGCCCATTCGACGCTGCTTGACGCCGCCTGCTGCTCGCGATGCAACGCGCCGCGCACGATGCAAGGCGCCCGCGTTTAGCCTCGCCCATTCGACGCTGCTCGACGCCGCCTGCTGCTCGCGGCGCAACGCGCCGCGCACGATGCAGGGCGCCCGCGTTTAGCCTCGCCCGTTCGACGCCGCTCGACGCCGCCTGCAGCTCGCGACGCAACACGCCGCGCACGATGCAAGGCGTCCGCGTTTACCCTCGCCCATTCGACGCTGCTTGACGCCGCCTGCTGCTCGCGACGCAACGCGCCGCGCACGACGCAAACATCCACGTTTAGCCTCGTCCATTCGACGCTGCTTGACGCCGCCTGCTGCTCGCGACGCAACACGCCGCGCGCGATGCAAGGCATCCACGGTTAGCTTCGCCCAGTCGACGCTGCTCGACGCTGACTGCTGCTCGCGACGCAACGCGCCGCGCACGATGCAAGGCATCCACGTTTAGCCTCGCCCATTCGACGCTGCTCGACGCCGCCTGCTGCTCGCGACACAACGCGCCGCGCACGATGCAAGACGTCCACGCTTAGCCTCGTCCATTCGACGCTGCTTGACGCTGCCTGCTGCTCGCGACGCAACGCGCCGCGCACGGTGCTAGGCATCCACGTTTAGCCTCGTCCATTCGACGCCGCTTGACGCCGCCTGCTGCTCGCGACGCAACACGCCGCGCACGATGCAAACATCCACGTGTAGCCTCGCCCATCGGACGCTGCTTGACGCTGCCTGCTGCTCGCGACGCAACGCGCCGCGCACGATGCAAGGCATCCACGTTTAGCCTCGCCCATTCGACGCTGCTTGGCACTGCCTGCTGCTCGCGACGCAACACGCCGCGCACGATGCAAGGCATCCACGTTTGGCCTCGTCCATTCGACGCTGCTCGACGCTGCCTGCT